GTGCTGAGGATCGAACCCGGGCAGCACGCATGCCAGGCGAGCGCGCTACCGCTGAGCCACATCTCCAGCCCCAAGGTGGCCAATCTTATTCTTGATACTTGTTGGTTTGGTGGCATAGGCTACTTAGGAGGTTAAGGCAGAGGAATCGTAAGTTCAAGGCCAGCTTCAGCAACTTAGAGAGACCCTGTCTCAAAATAGAAAATAAAAAGGACTGAAGATGTAGCTTAGCAGTAGTGCATCCCTGAGTTTGTCCCCAGAACCCCAAAATACAAGTTATTCTTGATTCTCCCTGGAAGTTTTAAAAATCTTCTTTGCCTCCTGTTACTAAAATTTTATGACAAAAATCTGTGTCATATACTGTATGTAGTTCTTTTAAGTTCTTTTTTATCATTTTATCGCCAATTGTACATTCACTCGTGTGTGTGTGTGTGTGTGTGTGGTGAGCATGCGCAGTGGGGCAGGCGCTCAGACAGATATGGAAGGGCATTCATTCCATTTGCTTATCTGAATCAGCTGGTCTCTCTCTGATGCTATTAGGTCCTCCAGAGAAGAATCCCTGAAATTCTCACCTTTGGGTTGTGGGGTGTGCCGGGAGGGGGCTCTGCTCAGGTTCTTCAGAGCTTCCTCTCATGCAGGCTGGAGGGATGTTTGGGGGCCACGTGGAATGGAAGCGGGGATCTGAGCAGYTTATCACTCCTTCAATACAGATGTCCAGCCGATTCTGTTTTCAGCCCTCCTTCACCCCCTCTTGATCTTCATGCCTGGGGTTTTCCAAGGTCTGCAGCCAACACGTCTTCTTTCTTATCTGGGACCCCTCTTAGCTGATGGGGTTTCTGCCTCCTTCATTCTTCTGAGACAGCCCTGGCTCCTGCCCTGCCCTTCAGGGGGCTTTGGGGGAGGCATGTGGACCTGTGTTCAGTGTGCCTGGAAGAACCAGGTGGTTTGGCCAGGGAGGTTCTTAGTGATCTCCAAGGTCAGGGTTGGGATGGATCAGAAAGGGAGGGGGAGATGTTGGAGACCACTGGGGAGTCTCAGGGGAAAGAGGGACACTGTCATGGAAATAGGATGAAAAGATTTTAGGAGCAGAGAGGAAGAACCCAGGGTGCCATCTCAGTTTCTGACTCGGGTGATGGGGCGGCTGGGTGTCTCTTTGATGGCATGACACGGAATAGAGTAAGAGGAGCCGGTGGGCCGAGGTGGGCTGTGTGAATGTGGGGAGCCCACGGGACCCCAAGTGGGAGCTCCCAGCATGCAGGCAGAGATGGAGTGGGAGGCCCAGCACAGGCATGCGACCTGCCGAAGACACTGGCGGGAGCTGGTGACTCGGATGAGATCATCGGACGCCGGGCCCTTACAGAAGGAAAGGGATGCCCTCTGTCCTCCAGGAGTGAGACAAACAAGGGAGTGGAGCCAAGTGGCCACCAGCCCAGTCCTGTCACGCAGCCCCTCAACGTGGTGGCCTTGAGGCTCTGAAGTCAGCTGAATCTCTTCAACTAAGCTCAGCAGCCCCCACCCCTGAGCCCGGCCATGGTTCAAGGACAGCTGGTGGGGATGCCCCTGGGATTCCCTTCTTAGGGCAGCCCGGGATCCAAGAGTTGGTGGCAGGGCCACCCACTGCCTTGGGGTCGACGTGGAAGTCCAGGTCAGGTTCTGGGAGCGCCTCTCTGACTCCCACAGACAGTAGCATCAGCTCCGAGGTCTAGCTGTGGGAGGCAGATTTGAAATGTCAGGATGGGATCTGACCCGCAGAAAAGGCTTGCCCCAGGGCCCCTGGCTGTATCCGCCCTGCTAGGTCTRCCTGGTGGTGTGAACATGTCATCTTGGTGGCTTGCTTGCCCGGCTGTGCACTCTGAAGCCCTTAATGGGCTTTCTGAATCTTTCTGAATCTATGCAAATGTATGAGATGGGAATGGGCCCACTAATGGAGGACAAAACCGAGGCTCAGAGAAGTCAGGTGACTTCTGTCACAGAAGTCTGTCCTGGACACACTCTCAGGTTAGAACCTTGAAGTTGTGCTGGCCATTGGCTATGTCTCTGTCCTGTGAGACCCATCTCCAAACTTGTCATACCTCAGGGGTGTGTGTGTGTGTGTGTGTGTGTGTGTGTGTGTTCCCTTCCTATTCCTGAGCTCTCCTACCCTCTCCTCAAGACCACAGGAATTCTGGTGAATTAATCTCATTGCTTTATCAAGAAGGCACTTAGAGAAATTACAAGGCAAGGCCACCGGCCTGGTTTTGCTGGCAGCCAGCCGCTGGGGCCATAAAACAAATTGAAAGGAACAAAAATAAATAAGTAGAATTAGAACTGACTCCTACACATACGTCCCTAAAGGGTCGGGACACCGCTGGAGGCTGGACGTTCGTGCTCAGTCCTTGTGCTGTGGGAGGGCTACACACGTTCTTGACCCCTGATCTGAGCACCAGCCTGTGGTCCCACTTCCTCCAGGGATGGCAGGCCTCTGTGCAGCTTGGGCGCAGGGCATGGGGAGAGTGATGGTGTGCAGGTGCGTCCCAAGGCAACGGGGTCACCATTTCTGGGAGGTCACGCCTTTGTCCACTTGGGTTCCCAGTCCAGCATTCCCTCGGCCTGCTCTCCCTCACCCTCCTCATCTGGGAGGTGGAGAAAAATAGGTTGACCCTCGGGGTTGTCAGGGAGAGAAGGACTCAATACATCTGGAGTCGCCCTGCAGCTGGGCCCGTGTTGGTGCTCAGCAGGTATCGAACAACTACTGGATGGGGGGCAGTACTTGGACTGCAGAGGGAACTGGTTTGAGTGGAGCCGGTGAACACCGGCAGTGGGGACAACAGTGGGAAGCTGGTGAGAGAGGCAGCACCTCCCTGGGGGGGCCCTGGAGAGGTGGCCAGGCCTCAGGCAGGGTATCTGTGAACTAGTTCTCAGCTGCAGGAGCAAAAGCCTGGAAGCCTCTGAGATCAGAGTTCCAGGAACTGATAATTATGCAGAGTGACTGATAAGTATGCAGAGCGGGGCGAGTGGAGAGACTCCACTGGAGGAAGCCTCCAATGGAGGCCGGAGATGGAGAGAGATGGGACTTCTAAGGCAAGTTGGAGACTTGGTGTGCATTTCCTCCTTTCTGCTTCTCTTAGTGTCACCGTGCATCAGTGTATGTTGATATCACTTCCCAAGAGCAAGGTTAGGGTGGGATGCAAGAGGGCGAGGGGCCCAGACTCTTTACCCCTTCCCCTTCTTAGACCCCACCCTCCAGCAGAGATGACCTCTAGCCCCCTTCCTGCAGGAGAGGGACAGGGAGAAAGCCGTCCCTGCTGGACTTGAGGAAGAGAGAGAGAATAGCTCTCCCTGGGGATCTCTAAGGTGCTTCTGGGAGGTCAGCCTCCCTCTCAGTAGAAATGGGTAAGGATAGTCCCTGAGTGTGGTGGCCGCGCCATGCAGTCAGAGGGCCTGTTGTAACGGGGGCCACCAGTGTGACCTCTGAGAAGCACTTTGTCAGTTGGGGCAAGTGACTTGCTCCAGAAAATCCGGTAGCAAGTGGTTTCTCCCCTGCCACTGGCCACATCCCTGGTCCTTTCTATTTGTTTTTAATTTGAGATAAGTTATCCAGGCTGACCTTGAACTTGTGATCCTTCTCCCAAGTCACTGGGATTACAGACCTGTGGCACCACACCTGGCAGCAAGTGGTTTCTGTGTCCCACATGGAGAGGCCCAGGACGCCCTCCTTGCCTCCTGGCCAGTAGACCACCTGGGTTAGCAACAGAGGCCTGTCCTTGGGGCTGGTGGCCCTTCCACTTTCCCTAGGCTCCTAAGCAGMTGGCCTCAGAGGACAGGCAGGCCTCCACATTCCCCCTGCTCTTTCTGGTAGTGGTGTCTGGAGGGGCTGGAAGGAAACACTTGGTACCCCCATGGCCTTTCCCTCCCACACCAGGCGTGTTCCAGGAATACAGTACACATTTGTCAAATATGTGTTGTCAGTAAGGTCTGCAGGGTGGACGCCGTGCCCTGTGYTAGGAAGGCAGCCGTGGCCTCCCTTGACTAGGCTGTACGCCCTCTCCCTAGAAGAGGCTGAGAAGAAACAGGGGCATTAGAAGGTTTGGRCCTTACTAGGCCCTGTGAAGTCACGCTGCCCTCAGTTTGTCAAACTGAGGCTGCTGATATGTAAAATGCRGGGAGTATTAATTAGTGCCTTCTTCATGGAATTGCTATGAGTTAGGGTCTGGCAGGTCATTCCTCCAGCACTTGTTGTTGCCCGCCTTCTGGGTGGCAGGGCACTTCCAAGTTCTGCTGTGATTGGCAGTAAGCCCTTCCCTTCCTAGGGCTCAGCTTCCCGGGAACATGGGGTCAGGGTCATGGTAGCCACGGGGTACTTCACTGAAGGAGCAACCCGGAAATTAATCAAAAGTCCCTCTGCTACGAGGAAGGTGCTTGATAAGTGATCACCTCACGCYGACTAGTGCTTCATAATTTCTTATATAGCAACTGTTCATGARAAGTCTGGCTTGATCCCTCTGTGAGGAGCTGGCACAGCAGGGGGACTCCTGTGAGAGGGAGGAGATATCCTTCAGGCCAGCAAGGCTGGGTGACCTGGATCTGCCCAGTGGGAGGCAGAATCCAGGCCAGACACCTGTGTGCTCAGTGTGTCCAGCAGACTTTTCCCAGTCAGGGGCCCTGGCTGGAGGTGGGAGGAGCTGCCGATGGTGGACAGTACYGATGCCTTGGTCAGCACAGGGGTCCTCCTCTTCCTGGGATCAAGTGCCAGCCCAGTGAGTTTGGATGTTCTGGACCCATAATCTGGAGAGTGACTTTCTGCTTGGAAGAGAGTTGGAAGCATTCTGATGGCAGCTCAGAGCACCTACTGTGAGGAGCCCCGCTCTGTGGGACCCTGGGTGGGGGCAAGCTGTAGCTCCACCAGTTATGCCCAGCCTTCTGCCAGCAGGTTTGGACCTGACTATRCCCTGTATAGTCGCGCTGCCCTCAGTTTGTAAAACTCACAGCAGACGCCTGGCAACCCTCTCTGTGTCTGGTTGCAGGGAACATCGAGTACAGCTGCCCAGCCACCAATGAGTGCGAGATCACGAAACGGAGGCGCAAGTCCTGCCAGGCCTGCCGCTTCATGAAATGCCTCAAAGTGGGGATGCTGAAGGAAGGTAAGAGGTCTGGACCACCAAGGGCCCTCTGAGGGCCTGGGGTCACCCGCTAGCTTTTGGTCCTGCCAGGCCGTCCTGCCTCCTGGCTTGAGGCCCACCCGGGGTGCTGGGTGCTGGTATTTCCCGCGCCCTGCCAGCCAGCCTCCAGCCCACAAAGCTCTCCTCCTGCCGGAGAGGCTGAGGGCGGGCTGAGGGCGGGCGGGAGGCAGGAGTTGGAAGCTCTCCACTAAGGATCCTTCTGGGACATCTGACCCCACTTGGGCCCTGGTCTTGGCACTCTGGGCAGGCCCCCTCTCTACCCTCGCAGGCTTGAGAGGCTGATGACCCCAGCACTCTCTAGGACATTGAGAACCTTCCCTGCCTTGCATTGCAGCTGGTGGACAGACACGGCTCTCATGTGGTCAACACTTTCCCCTGGCCCAGTCCCTCTCTCCTACCTCGCCTTCTCTCCTGTTACCTCCTTCTTCTAGTTCAGCAGCCACGAGCCACACGTGGTTTCTGAGCAGTAACTAGTCAATCCAAAGGGTGTTCTGCACCCGGTTTTCAAAGACTTAGGATAATAAAAAGCAGTATAAAAAGTGGTAGTGGTTATTTTTAAAAATTGATGGCATGTAGAAATGATCATACTTTGCTACATTGGGTTAAATAAAACACTTTTGGAATTAATGTCATGTGCTGCTGCTTCTCCTCCTCCTCCTGTGTGTGTGTGTGTGTGTGGGGGGGGGGGTGATGGGGATTGAACCCAGGGCCTGACAGGTGTAGGAAGGCACCCTACACCGAGGTACATCCCCAGCCCTTTTTCATTCTGTTTTAAGACAGGGTCTTGCTAAGTTGCCCTGTCTGGCCTAGAACTTGCTATCCTCCTGCCTCAGCCTCCGGAGTAGCTGGGTCACAGGTGTGAGCCACCAGGCCCGGCTACGTACGCACTGCTGTGGCTCTCAGCAACACACTTCTCTTTACCCTCCTTAATTGTGGCTCCCAGAAAACAGGATGACATGTGGCTCATTGTGTGGACAGCTGCTCTCCTCACTTTCCCTGTCSATCTGCTCAGTTTGATAAACCTGGTACCGTTTGGGGGATGTGGAGTGTGTGTGTGTGTGTGTCTCTCCTTTGCAGCGTTCAAGGGGAGCCAGTGGAAATTCTACAGAATTTCTGGGCCTGGGGATCCTTCTAGAAGTGGGAGCAGGCAGTAAAAGAGGTGTGTGTGKAGGATCAGGAGGGCTCCAGGGAAGAGAAGGGGCCCTCTGGAGCGCTGGCGGGGATCTTGTCAGGAAGCTCCGYGCAGTCCCTCAGGCTTGGGGTGCTCCTCCCACCCCTCTCCCCATGCCCCCTGGAGCAGAGGACGAGAATTTAAGATGCTTCTCCAGTAAGACAGCTTGGATCTTCGTGTGTTGTGGAAGTTGGGAGCCCCCCAACTTCTGTTTCTATTCCAGGCTCCCCCCACTCCCACCTTTACCTAGGTTGATCTCAGCATCTGAACCTGTAAAGCAGGAGCTTTTGAAGCAGGTTCTTAATTACCCGCTGTGTCTACACAGCACCCTGGCCTTTAAACGCAAGTTTGCTCAATTGTCCCTTCATTTGCCCCTCTGTGATGTGGTGGGCCACCCAGTTCTCAGACAYACCGTTCCCAGCTCCTTTGTTGGGGGCTCTGCATAGGAAACAGCTTTCTTTCTAGGTGAAAACTGGGCTGCGTTAGACCTGTCAGAAGAGCACGGGTTGGTTCATGTGGAGCTATACAATTTGGTCTTACCAGGGTGTAGGGTGGGACCAAGTTGCTCACAGCTTCCTGGTGTCCCAAGGGAGGAGGTGGGGCCCACAGGCCACAGAGGTAGGTCTTGGCACAGCTCTCTCCATGTCCCCTTCTGTGGAAGGCTGAGGGTTCAAGCCTTGGAGAGACTCCTGCCTCTTAAGTTCAAGAGATGCAGCTGCCATCTTGTTCTGTAAGCTGGGTGTAGGGAATCGGGATCAGGCTGGGGGCCCATGTCCCTGCTTGTCCTGGCTGGAGTGTGCAGCCTCTCTGCTTGCTTTGAGGGAAGACTCCTTGTTATAAATACACCTGGAATTTTTTTAAATTTTATTTATTTTTTTATTCCTGGAGATTGAGCCCAGGATCTCAGTGCACACTAGGCAAGGGCTCCTCCACTGAGCTCCATTCCCAGCCCCTTTTGACTTTCTATTTTGAGAAAGGGTCTTCCCAAGTAATGAGGGTCTTGTTAAGTCGCCCAGGCTAATCCTCCTCCTTCAGCCTCCCCGAGTTGTTGGGATGACAGGTGTCTGGCCCCAGCTGAGACAGGGTCTTGCTAAGTTTTCCAGGTTGTCCTCAAACTCGTTATCCTCCTGCCCCTATTTCCTGAGTAGCTGGGATTATAGGTGGGCACCTTGGCCCCTGGCTTGATGTCTGAATTTTAAAGGTGATAAAATGGGGCCCTGCGGGGATTGGGGTGAGATGACTTTGCCACCTCAGTCACACACGGGCAGGGTCGGGAGCTGGGCCCCACGCCTCCCTCTCTGTGCTGTCTGCCTGCCCCTCCCTCTTGGCAAAGGCCAGGGAAGGGTCCACTATTAGAAAGGGCTGGACTGCTCAGAATGGGCTCAGCAGAGACCTAGGGGCTATCCAGTGCTGGGAAGAGAGGGAGACGCTTTCTAGTTATCCCTGAGGGGAAATGACAGGGGAAGGGTTCACGGACGCCAGGAGGTGGGTGGCTGGACCTGATTGATGGGCAGCAGCACTGGCAAACCTGGACAGGCACTTGGGAGAGAAATGAGATGGGTGTGTGAGTCCCAGGAGGACGGCGTAGGGGGCCCTGGGAGGATGCAGGTGACACCCCCATGCTGCCCACGTGGGGAGGACCTGCAGGCTGAGCCCCTTGCTGGTCACTTCCCCTAATAAGGAGCCCCAATGGCCTCTCCCCAGGGTGGCTGCGGAGCACCCCCTGGCAGATTTGCTGAGCCTGAAGAGGCCTGTTGAGGAGCTCTGCCTGAAGGAGGAAGGGACAGTCACCGGAACACTGCCCTCCCCCAGCGCTGGCAGGTCCCAATCCAAAGACACAAAGGCTGCTGCAGCGAGGAAGCAGAGCCTGGCTGAGCGTGTGTCCCCGCGGAGCCCTGGCGGGACCTGGGATCTGAAGCTCCGTGGGGACTGGTCCCCTCAGGAGGAGCAGGCCGCATTCAGGAGCCTGGGTCCCTGCCAGGGAGAGCTCTTGGCAGCGCGGTGGCTTCTGCTTTTGTTTGGGGGGTGCTCCTCCTGGCTCTGTGCACAGGGCCACCCCGGGGACCAGGGGGGGCCGCCTCCCKCTGTTTTCCCTCCAGCTCTTACTCTGAAAGGCAAACTTCCCCTTTCCCCAGGGCTGCGCCTCTGCTGTGGGGTGTCGGGGTCCCCAAGTCTGTAGAAAGGCCAAGTGTGAGTGAGGGCCGACTGACCCCCTCCCTCCCACCCTCACACCTGAACCTCTTACCTCTTCTCTCCAGATGCTCAAGATATCTCTTCTACCCCAGCTTCACCATTTACTTGCTTTCCTGTGTCATCTGAGTGCCTGTGTCATGATTTAGGTGCCCCAGCCCTTACCTGGGAAGTGCCTCACTCATCGGCTGAGGCTGGCTTTGAATTTGCAATCCTCCTGCCTCAGCCTCTTGAGTTGCTGGAATTACAGGTGTGTGCCACTGTGTCCAGCCCAAGGGTCCTCCTTTAAGTAGACCTCATATAAAAATCTGTGTTTTCAGGGTAAAAAAGTAATATTCTCTCTCTCTTTTTGTTTTTTTTTTTGTTGAGGTACTACAAATTGAACCCAGAGTACTCTACCACTGAGCTATACACCCAGCCCTTTTTATTTTTTATTTTGACACAGGATCTTGCTAAGTTGTTGAGGCTGGCCTTGAACCCGGGAACCCCTGCCGCAGTCTGGCTGGGCACAAAATAACCAAGCTGCCATGTGAGGGCCACAGCCTATGTTGTCTCCATAGGTGGAGCTGTTGGTTGGACACTTACGCCCTCTGGTGATAGAAAGGTGATAGTAGCAACCTCCCGTTGTAACTTCTCTCCGGATAGCCCCTCTTTCTCTAAACTTTTTTCCCCTGACTAACTCGAGAGACTTCCTCTTGTACTTGATTTAAAATGCCTTCTCCTAGACTAAGCAAACAAGATTGTACCAACGTCCATAAYGGTAATGTGCCAACTGGCAGAGTTCCTGGGCTTTCCTTTTGTATCTTTTTAAATCTTCACTATGATGGTTCCATTGTTCTTGATCTTACTGAGATGMCTCCTTCCTCTAGCACTGTACTTAACGCCCTTTCGGTTTGGTTCTTATTAATTTTTAATTCCATATTTCCGTGATGAAGATACCCCTCACTAAGATAATGCAAAACAAAACCGAGACAAAATGAAACAAAAATGGAACAAAAATTCATGATAYCAGCCTTTCTATCCTCCTGAAATGTCCATCTGTCCTTTGTCCCTATCTGTTCCTCAGATGCAAATAGTTTTTCTTCCATCCCACCCATCTCCAGGGACTGGAAACTTAAAACAAAAGGAAAGAAGAATCTTTAAATGGTTACCCATCCTCTCATACTGCCCTCAGGAGCGAGCAGTTTACCTTATCACTTACCCTCAGGCGTTCCCAGTACCACCAAATGCAGCAGTCTGCTGGGCACAAAATGACCCAGCCACGAGGCACTTGTAGGTTCAAAAAACGAACTCCCGCAAACGCCACCCAAGTGGCCCTTCTAGGAACATCCCCAACCGGAAATCCCTCCTCCGGAAATCCCTCCGCAACTTCACCAACCAATGCAAGCTCCTCAGGAATCCCGGGAGAACTCCAAAGTAGTGGGCAAGTAGCGGGGCGCCCCAGGCGAACAGCAGGGGTCTATATACAACTGAATACGCAGCTTAACTTAACCATTATCATCTCAATGGCTCGCTGGTCACCTCTCAACCACTCCCTTCTGGCAAAAATGCCATGCGTCATCCCAACTCAGCTGTGGCCCTCAACAATCCCCCTGCCTTA